AATAAGTAAGTTACTAGTAAGCAAACAATGAATAATAAGTAAAGAAATAATGACTAGCACATGTCTTGTTTATAACAAAAATATGAAAAAAATGTAACATTAAATACCAACATAACTCACGTTTTCAAAGAACACATTATTTTAGATATATCGGCGTTTTTACAAGTTTTTTACAAAAATATTTTAATGACGTACTCAGGTATATTCTTTCTTGTTTTCTTAAGTCACTTGAAAAATCACTTCTACAATAGTATGTATTTAAATTTAATTCACAATCAGCAATGTTATAATCGAAGAAAACTCAAGCACTCTCGGGAGAACGTCTTGAGTCTTTGTATGTTCTAATGATTTTTCATTTTCTGTGGGTTTGATATTTTTATTGCTCAAGCTGATAGCTAAATTGAATGTGCCCGAACTATATTTTGTAAAAATCTTATGAGCATGTCTGTATTGCGTGCTTGTTGATACTTCTTCAATTGGACTTATTTTTGGCCTTCCAGCACTTTCACTTATTTACGATTTTTTTTTGGTCGACCAGATGGATTTCGACTAGTGAAAATTCTTCGTATCAAACTCAATCCGAAAAAAAATTTGCAATTACGTCACGTAATTGAGAAATTCCTTTTTTTCTTTAATTTTTATCTAAATGAGTATCAATTAGTGAGAAAATTACAAAAAAAATGAATAAACTTTACAATATATCGATAATAACTTTGTTACTTGATTTATTGAATAAAGAAGCTTTCATAAAGATTAATACAACATTGATTTACAATTTTTTCAAACCTTCGTTTACTTTTAAATAATTATTAACATATTTTCGCCTGTAGTAAAAAAAACTAAGGAAATAATTATAATAATGTACAAATATAATTCACGTTTTAAAAGAAAACATTATGTCAGATATATCGCAATATTCGTAAGTGCTTTTATTGTAAATGTTTCTTATTGATGAATATATATTCAGGTGTATCTTCTTTCTGGTGCTCTTTAAAAATTATCTCTATAATATACATTTGGACTTAATTTGCACTTAGCAAACGTATAATGGGATAAGTTTATATTGTAAAATATCATACGTATTTTTGAAAAATCAATACTTATAATGTAATAATATAAACTTTAATTTGAATCATTTTTTCTCTCCAATCACGGATCAAGTCTATATTTTTAAGAACAAGTTGGACTTTATGTTTCAAATCCTACAAGATGCATATTTATTTTATATGCATCTTGAATTATTATGAATCATCCTATTTTCTCGACTTTGGACGTATCTTTTAGATTGATAAAGGGGACTTCACCTAAATTTTAATGAAGAATACGGACTTGTCTTTTGAAGAATAATATGTATAATATAATATAATAATATGTAATATGTATTTGAATAAAATGTATCTAGTTCATAGGAAAACGCTGTATCCATAATATCCAGTTTGAATAATAACAAAAAATTACGATATTTTGTATTCCTCGACTTTGGGCGTGTCTTTTCACTGAATAATGTACTTTCTCGAATTTCTGATGACGGACTCGGGTTTGTCATTCCAAAAGCAACAAGAATATGGATTTTCTTTATCGGAAAAGGTGATATCCACAGTATCCAGTTTGAATAACAACGACAAATCACGATATTTTATATTCCTCGATTTTGGGCGCGTTTTTCTGACTGAATAATGTACTTTATCGTATTTTTGTTAACGGAATTGCATTTGTCGTTTCGAATACTACACAATTATGTACTTGTTTATATCGAAAAAGATGATATCCACTACAGAAATTTCCATAAAATATGAAGGCCAGCGATAATTGATATTGTCTCGATTTTGGACACATTTTTCTCATTGACAAATAATTTTAAATAAATTTTTAACAACGGATTTGGATTTGTCGTTCCGAAAGCTACAAAAAATTATATTGAGATATTCAAAAACTGATCTTAATTGAAGAGAAAAATTGAAGAAAAGAAAATATTTCGAAAAAGTCACAACTCTGACCTTAATTTTACAACTCAAATGTTGAATAGTCAATTCCGCTATAATTTTCCTATAAGTAACAACAATTTAGCTTTATAATGCGACCAGAATCATCTCACTATCTCATTCCGTTCCAAAGATCTATGATTTTGAGAAAAAAAATCTACAAACCGTACATTGTGCGGGGCGCGCGAGTTAATCTCAGGAAAGAAGTGTTCTGATGAAAATATTTTTAGGAATCTTGTGACTGAATTGAATATTTTACGATAATCGGAAATTGAAATAATTATTGATAATATTAAAACGACCTACAAATTTCAAATAGTTGTAATTCTTACAGACAATCTAGAGTTCAATTATGCATGTGCTATGATTCAATCTTTCAAATTATTACTGTCAGATTTGTAGAAACGATTCTTTCGAGTGTTCGCACTTGTTAACAGAAAAACAAAACCAAGATAATTTTACGAACTCAAGATAATTATAATTTAGATTTGAAGAAAGCAAAAACAAGTGAAACTGGCTTGAAGGAAAATATTACATTCAATCGCGTACAAAATTTTCGCATAACAAATAAGAGTATCGACTTTATGCACGATATGCTCGAGGGAGTTTGTATATAAGTAATACGTGCTATCTTGTATGAGTTTCTTTTTAAGTTAAAATTATTTACGTTGAGTATTTGAATCTAAGAATTAAGCAATTTTCCGTCTATGTAACGTACCAGGTTGCTACCATGAGTCATCTGTGAACTGCAATAAGCCACTTTTCCTTAAATCGAACAATGGACCCGGAATCGCAATTGAGGTCCTCCACTAACCTATAAGTTCAATGGCATTTGGTACTCACCATTATACGCACTGTCGTTAATTTTTACTACATAAATTATACGACCAATTAAAAAATTCACTTGACACTACCACAATCTCCACGGGTTTATTAACGATGAAATGTACACTCCAGAAGACCTTGAACGACTTCATCATAACTCCAATTTTCCAATAAAATAACTAATTGTTCGAAAATGTCAATGTCACCAGAAGACTTTCGGATCTACCAGTTCCTGATGACTCAGTAAAACTCAAAAATTTATTAGAACTTGAAGCAATAATATTGATGGTCACCTCGACCTACACAAAATTTTGGAACAAATTTATGAAATTTAGTATCATAGCGACGGTCTTCATTGGAATATTCATGATTGTTCAATCCGTCAAAACAATGATAGATGCAATCATACACGAATATACTCTACATATATCTTATCTACGGTTAGAGCACCCACCTTCTTATAGCTGTCTGGTTATTTCTAGTCCTGCTAAAACAAAGATAATGTCCATATTTTAGCATAGAGCCCACTTCCTGATCTACCTATTCAAATCCAAACCCCCAGCCTCAAACAAAAATTGATTTGCATGATCAGTTTTTTTAATTTATTTAAATAATTCCGCATATAAAATTAGAATCGTAAAAAGAAAAAAACACGGACAACATTCTTTTACCGTTTTAACAGTGATCCAATGGTTAATTTGGTGCTATCTGGCTTAGATTTTGCTTAAGTAATAATGGATTAATCAAACCCTAATTCCATCATAGATTCCGACATGTTCCATCAACAAATGCCGCAACTTCTGTAGACAGACATTTGGTTATATAGCTATATATTTAATTGATTCAAAATTTATCTTGGTTCCTGTTGTCAACCGAATGACTTCATCATTTCTGGTCTAGCTTTATTTTTGAATAAATATTATAATATTTATTCAAAGAATATGATAACAGTTTGACAATAATTTAACTTGTATAGTTGAAAAGAATTAGCAGTTTTTGATTTGATAAATCATGAATTTTGATACATAGAACTGTGTTACTAATCTTTGCGCTATGTTTTGTCAAAAAATTTGGAAATTCCACTTTTAAAAAAAATATTTGTGTCAAATATGTTAATCAATATAACAAAAAATGAAATACAAGAGTACGCCAAGCACGTATTGCACTAGTGTCATAAATATTAAAAATCAAGAAATAATACTTAAATAGTTTGAAGAAATATTAATAGTTATAGTTTATATTTTTCAATATTAAAAAGATATATAAAGATTTTAAATAGTGTGAAAATTCTAAAATAGTCTATAATAACCAATAACTATAATTTAATTATTTAATTTTTCTTAATTTTTGGAATATTCTTTTTCTAGATGCTAGATGAAAATTATGAATATCGTAGCATTCTATTCAATTATTTTCTTATAAAAAAATTTTAAAAATAAGTTTATTTTCTAACTGTACCACCAACGATTAAAATAAATTTCAATAACTATAAATAAAAATTACAAGCGAAAAAATTACTTAACATTTATATTCTTTTCTGAATATAATAATTGCAGAAATTCTTAATTTAGACACAATGTTTAAGGTATAAACATATATTGATGGTATTTTTTTCAACTTACATGTATTTTCATTTATTTTTATTACCATGATTATGCATATAAGTGAAGTAATGTACTAAAAAAAATCTTGAGCTAGCACAGGTAGTAAACTAAATTTTACAATAATTCTTATTGTAATAAAGAATTATTTACTTATTACTAAGAATAAATTCTTAGTAATAAATAACTTAAAGAACTGAAGAAATCTTAGTGAGTTCAAAGAAAAATATGAAAAATGTACAAAGTTTAGAATCTTAACGTAGAATTGATAGAATGTACATGAAATTCTGTTGTTTATCAATCACATAGTCGATAACAAAAATTATGTCCTTAGTTAAGCCTTGGAATGATTGATTAATAATATAATTACAAATCAAATATTTTATTCCAATATATTATTAAACTATTCGAAATTTTAATTCAAAGAGACAAAAGTTTGCTAACTTAGAAAATATAATACAGCAAAAGTTACAATATGAATCATGTGATTCTTGCAATTAATAAAGAATAGTTAGGAAATAATAATTTAGTAAATTATGGTATAGATATAAGCTAGAGTCGATGAAATCAAACAATGAGAAATCTGACAAACCTGTATTTCTCGTTGATGACTGAAAATTCTCGGAAGAACTCATAATACATATAGCAGCTAAAGATTGATTATCTACAAAAAGGTTATCAACCAGATATTTTCCAAGAGTACAAAGTGTTGGAAATTTGACATTAAAATAAGTTTCGGCCCATTCTCTAATTAATATTGAAGCAGCTCCAAGCATATCCTCTTTTGTATTATATTCTCCATCTCCTCCCTTAGACATAATCAAAAATATATTTTACATTAACATTTATCATTTCTTCAATGAAAAAAATGTATTGTTTCTTAAATAAATAACATAAATCTATACAAAAATATATTACCAGATCTTTATCATACGTAGATGGCAATGTTGGAGGTTTTAGAATAAGTTTCTTCCTTAGTCCAGCATAACAATAACGAGAATTACCACGTGTACCAAGTCTACGAGGTCGAACTCTAGGATATACTTGTTTCATAACTTTTCCAAAATCAGCTGTCGATAAAGGTTTCATGTTGTTTTTAGAGCAAAATATGCTGCAACAATAGATTTATATGGTGGTTGACATATCAAAATTTAACTTCATTTTATAATATGGTAGAATTAATTACTTGTATTCATCATAAACATCTTGTTTTGGTAAAGAAACTTCTGGATCTTCTTCTAAATGAGTCTTAATCCACATAATAGTTTGATGAATTTCATAGCGATTACCTAAAGGATTTAATGGCTGCTTCAGTGGATCACACATTACATTAGAATTAATTAACGAAGTTGGAAGTTTCAGGTAAAGTAATAATTTCTCTTCAAATTTTAATTCATCCATTTGAGAAAGAATGAGCTGCATTCGAGAGATAGAATCATGACTGCTATATAATAATCAGTAAAGAAAAAAATAAAGTAATAAAAGTAGATTGTACATACACTTATATATAAATTTTATATATTATAGAACCTACCTAATAGTATCTTGAATCATAGTACAAATCTTCTCATTAGTTTCTGGGCTGAAGTCCTTATGTGAAATAATATTCGTTATTTTATTAATATTTAAAATACACTGTAGCAAATCAGTGGAATGAAAAACATTGAGAGATGAATTTGAGGGTGCTAAAGCCAATTTATTGTCAGTAAAGCTTTCCTGTAGATGCAATTCTGATTCTGCTTCAAATTTTTTCTTTACTTTAACCAAGCTTAGTTGAATAGGGGTGGCTGTATCTGCAACAGATGTAATATTCATTATGAAACTGAGGGCAATATATACATATACTGAAAAGAAGGTAATCAATATCAGAACTGAATTAAAAATGATCTGTCTTTTTAAGACAAATGTTTGTTTATATTTTAACTACATTGACATAAAAAGAAAAAACTAAAACTTTGAATAAGTAAATTTGGTATTGAAATAAGATACAGCTGATACTTACCATACAAATTCTCCATTTATCAAGACAATTCTAATTCATAACTTCACCTGATTATTACAAAACCATTTTTTCACAGTCACATACCTATTGTCCTTGTTTATTGTCTATCATATTTATTTATTCAATTCAGAAAAATTGCGAACGCTGCTCTGATCTTCAACATAAAACACAGATCTATATAATTATCATGGATAAAATTTAGCTTTCAGTTATAATTCAGTACAGACACTAAGTGATCACTGTTTATATCCCGTTCGCTTAAATAATAAATGCTTAAAAAATGCAAATAGTAACTCTTTATGAAAATCTAACTTCCGCACAGAACATATGTATGGTTAAAAAACTTAACCCTTAATTTTTAATTTTTTTGGACTTGTTTGTAGAACCATCATCGCTAAAAGTGCTTTTTGTAGAATCATTGTACATGTAAGAATCTGACGAGATTTGAATATGTACATCAGTAGTGAATAACTAAACACATTATTATTATTTTTTTTTTATTATCCTATAAAAATTAGATTCCAGGCAATCATACTGCAGACAAAAATGAAAAGATAACTCTAGAAAACATGGATGATGAACTCAGCAAGAAATCGGCGAAAATCAAACCAGACAAATTATAGAGAAACTAGGCAAGATTAGCAAAGATAGCAAAACTCACTAATAACTTCCTATGGTTGAGTTTTCGACAATAAAAAAATTCCAAAAATTGAACTCTACCAGATTAGTAGAAATTGGTTCTGCATATCATTTTAATTCCACTTTTACAAAGATGAATCTGTAAAACTTTTAGCAAATAAAAGGCATAATTTGTTTATATTATCCAAATATCATTAAATATCCGTTAAATAAATAAACTATATCCCTCGCTGTAACAATACAAGCACTTCAAATATCAGTCAATACCATAGATCTACACTTCTGCGGGACAACCCCCTTGCCACAACAAACAAAATATTTTTATAGTAAAAAAATATCAATCCAAAATCTCTAATTGTAACTTAATAATTTCTTAATAACTGAATCTGTACTCTTCGTGTTTTTCCCAAAAAAATGAAAAATTAATGCTCGGTTTCACGATCGTTAACTTCATTAATAATCAATATTTTTATAAAGTAAATATACAAAGACAATATACCTCGACTGATCACAATTGTATTCTTATTACTTTTTATAAATGATAATAAAAAGAACAATAATCAATAAAAACAATTATGCCATTATTTATGCTGTAATAATATTCACTACGCATGTGCATAAGACACTAGGTATACTATAGTACGAGGGTCGTTTGAAAAGTTCGTGCAAAGACAGAGAGATGGCGTTACTAGTGCATATCAAGGTTATTTTCAGTTAGTGGCATGTCTTGGAAGAGCACACACCAAGTTTCAGCCAGATCGGCCAATTACTTTGCGTTTTACATTCGTTTCAATCAAAGAAATCGAGTGGTTGTAAAAAAATGGACAAAAAAGAATTTCGTGTATTAATTAAACATTACTTTTTCAAAGTCAAAACGCCTCAGGAGATTAAACAGAAGCTTGACAAACATTATGGTGATTGTACACCTTCGATTAGAATGGTTTATAAGTGGTTTCAAAATTTTCGGAGTGGCCATATGAGCACAAAAGACGCTGAACGTTCTGGACGCCCTGTTGAGGTTACCACTTCAGAAATCATTGATAAAATCCATGATATGGTGATGGCTGACAGAAGAGTGAAGGTGCGTCAGATTGCTAGTATGATAGGCATCTCGAGCGAACGGGTACATAATATATTGCACCAACATTTGGACATGAAAATGCTATCCGGTAGATGGGTGGCGCGATTGCTCACAATTGACCAAAAACGAGATCGTGTAAAGTGTTGCAAGAATGGTTTGCAGCTGTTCCAGCAAAATCTGCAAGACTTTAAGCTTCGTTTCATCATTGTAGATGAAACATAAATACATCACTACACTCCTGAGACCAAAGAACAGTCTAAACAATGGGTTGGGTTACCAAGGGGGAATCTGCTCCGAAAAAAGCGAAGACAATTCCTTCGGCCGGGAAGGTTATGGCGACTGTCTTTTGGGATTCGCAAGGAATAATCTTCATCGACTATCTGGAAATGGGTAAAACCATTACAGGCGAATATTATTCATCGTTATTGAATCGTTTGAAAACCGAGTTGCTAGAGAAACGTCCACGATTGGCCCACAAAAAAGCCCTCTTCCACCACGACAATGCGCCAGCTCACGCCTCAGCAGTTGTGGCCGCAAAACTGATGGAGATAGGGTTCCAACTCGTTTCACATCCCCCCTATTCTCCAGACTTGGCTCCGTCGGACTACTGTTTGTTCCCTAATATGAAAAAATGGCTAGCGGGGAAAAGATTTTATTCAAACGAGAAGGTATTTGCAGAAACGAATGCCTATTTTACAGATTTGGACAAATCCTATTAGTTGGAAGGGATTAACAAACTAGAGCAGTGTTGGATGAAGTGCATAAGCCTAAAAGGAGACTATGTTGAAAAATAAAAAAGATTTATTAAAAAAAATCAAGCAGTTTTTATTTTTGCACGGACTTTTCAAACGACCCTCGTATGTGATGATTGTGGAAGCTCAACCACCAGTGATGAGAATCCAATGACTTAAAAAAGTCTTTTTCATACCACCCTAGATCAGACCCGGAAAATAGTTCAAAGAAAAAAAAATTTTCAATAGAGTCAAATTTGCTCGGTTCAGCTATGTTGGTCAATGCTCACTATTATAACAAATTTGCTTCATTATAATATATTTGAAAAATACATTATTTTATATACAAAAATTTGAATAATATAATTGGTACCCTAAGCAATTCAAACAGTCGTCTTACGCATGCGTCAACTTGCGGAGTTGGCTGCGACTGCTGATTAATGCATGTATAATATTCATAAATTGGTTTGCTCAATGAAGCATTTCCTTCAAATAAAAGACATGTTTTCTTAGTCATTTTAAAAAAATCTCAACATTTGGTTATTATGTTTTATAAGCGGATTTGATTAAATCAGTGATTGTTATTTATGAAATTCGGTAAGAGGCTGATCGATGACTCATGTAATTAATCCGGTTCAAGATTGCAAAAAAAACAAACAAACATAAAATATATTTTAATACTTACATTATATGGCAGAATCAAGAACAATGTTAAAATAAATGATTGGAGAAAAAAAATCAAAACTCAACGAGTTTTGAACCAACATCCTTGCTTATTCGAAGCATTAATGTTACTATTTCGGCTATCGTATCAACATCATCATATAATGTATAAAAGGAATATTTAAGCTGTTGGACTCTGGGCAGTTTTTATTTCGATTACGTTTATGTGCTTGGACTTATTACAATGCTTAGCAACTGTAATGAGATCATCATATATCGCTTTCGATACGTAATTATCAAAATATAAGTACAACTTGGATCCGAAAAAAAGTAAATACACCGAGCAATCAGTAGATAAAATCGGCTGCCTGCAGAGTTAGTGAGTCGTCGAGTTAGTTAGTTAACAAACGAACCAGTGATGAAAATCAGATGAACCATTCAAAACTGTTATTTTCCAAAGTCGTGATGAATCTAGGTCTATTTTATAACCTTAACCGTTACTTGTAAGCCACTGCAGCGTGCAAGTAACAGTACTAACTATTGACATGTTTTTCAGTCGCCAATGATTGACGATAAGAGCGGCAAAGTGGCCGAAGAGTTCCAACAGCGAGAAAAGAAAGAGAGAGTAGGAGAAAAGAGAAAGAGAGAGAGAGAGAGAGAAAGAGAGAGAGAATGAGAGAGAGAGAGCACACGGTATAGGCAGATATAAGCAGGTGTGCGACCTGCGGCTGATAAGAGCTGCGTCGTATACCTCTGAAAAGTAGGAAGTGGGGATTAAGACAGCAAGGATAGGCGATTGTAAATGAAGCAAGGGGTATTCGACGTCTTACGCCTATAAATAAAGCTAGTGGCATATATCGTAGTTATAAATTTTTATAAATAAATAAGTTTGATAAACAAAAATTGGATAAGACCATAAGAAACTATGAATCTACAGGAAACCATAAGACCGTAAGAAACACAATAAAAAGGGTATCTTCAAATTATTTGACTTCAATATATCAATAAATTTTATAATAACATTGAAATGAATTTAAAAAGTGCTTTTTCCCTTGTACGAAGTCACCATTAAGAACCACTGAACAAAAGAATATCCTTAAATCTTTATATAGAAAAAATAGATGATTAATAAGCCAAAAATATTCTACTCTATATAATCGTACACTTGATCATTTTTTTAATAATTGGCTAAATCTTTATCATATGTTTCTTTCCAATATTTTCTTATTCCTACAGAAATATTTTATGTAGAATATTTACCATCAAATTTCCAATCGAATATTTTGAAGAATAATTATTTGTTAAATAATGTTTTTTTTTTAATAAATATTATTTTATGTTTTATGTTCAATTAAAAAACACTATGTTTAATAAATAAAATTCTAAAATTCATATGGAATCAAATCGTGTAGAAACGGCATTTATGCGAAACAAATTTGGCGATTAATGCTGTGTAAAATAAATTATTATTTACATTATTATTTTTTTATAAGCAAAATAGAATAATATAAGACAGCTGGTAAATTATGTAAACGGATCTGGAATACCAATGATCCCAATCAGAATAAGCTTGATATTATCATTCAAAATGTTAAAGAAATATTAGTTCTGTTTTCTACTCAAGAAAAGGAGTTGAAAGCAAATATTTCTCGAATATTTCTCGAAGCGTTTTATAAAGATATAATATGTACATGGAGAGTATTAAGACAATAGCCCTTTTTAAGAAAAGATATAAAACTTTTATGAATAAAAGAAGCAATAGTAGAAAATTAGTAATTAACAAAATAAAAATAGTTATTTTTAAGAAAAAATACAAAAAATCGTACCGATAAGTATATATACTCCCCGTATGATAAAGTTTTAGAAGCTAACAAAAATTGCTACCGCATAAATGTAAATACCACGAAAAATTGAGTCCAAATTAATATTACAGCATACTATTAGAGCATACTATGAAAAAGATTTTCATGGCAGTGGACAAACAAAAACTGAAATTGATTGGAAACAATAGATTACATTTTATTGAAAAGCGGAATATGGATGCTGTTTTTAGACAGAATGACTAGACATAATCTTCAACCGCTGATGATAATAGCGATTTCTCAGATCAATGAGTATTTTATGTATCATTTTACCCATTATTATTAAAAACTAATACTATCGACGTTCAGAAAAATTTAATGACGAATTCAATTGATTTTTGAAGATCCGTATTATTTTGAAACTAAATAACAAAATGTGTAACGGTTTTTTTTAATTATTTAATTCGTGGACTAAAAATGATTGTGGTTGGTAGTGATCTCCAGTGTTGCCTGAATCCAGCTCCCTCGGGTTGCTTTCTTCCTTGATAGGGGAAATCGGCTTGCGGAGAGTGTCGTGATCTAAACGTTAATAAAACGAACGATAACCAAGAGAAACGCAGCGTAAACAATAACGTTGCCGAGTAGTGAGAGAAAAGCAGGA